GACTTTTGTAACTATAACGTTCATATTTTTATTTTATTTATTATAAGAAAAATATGAGTTTTGACGTAAACAAACTGATGCAGGAAAATACTCCACAGGCCTTCGGGGGAGCTCCTCAAGAAGGTAGTTATAGACTTAACAGGATCGACTTTCTTGAAAAGGCTCTAATGCAAGAGATTCAAAACAGAGAAAAGATTACCACAAATACAAAAATTGGTATCTGTATTATCGACAACTAGCAAGAGTATGTTAGGAATTTCAGCAATGAGTGGTGTTACGGGGGTTGCTTTATCGGCAACAGTTTTCGCTGGACCGGTTGAAATTCCTATCGGTGTTGCTAGTTGTACTTTGGGATTTCTGTCTGGGGTTGGGATAGCTGTAAACAAACCTCTGGAAAAGAAGTTGACCAAGCATCTGCAGATAAAAAGATGCGCAGAATGTAGTCTCAGTACAATCAGTAAACTAGTGAGTAAAGCTAGGGTCGATAAGGATATAAGTCATGAAGAATACCAGTTTATCGACGATGAGTACCGAAACTATCTCAATCACAAAAACGAGATAAGTACTAATCTTATAAAGGAGAAGGATAATGTAGATATTCAAGCGCTAGTGGAACAGAGTTTCCGAGATGGAAAGACAGAGGCCTTAAAAAAATTGCAAGAGAGTATACTAGCCCGGGATATTACTGCAGTATAAAGATTACAACCAATAAGTATAGTAGAGAGTTTAGTTTTTCAAAGACTAAAATGACCTGACCCCACCAGCATATAATGAGTTAAATATTTAGACTGGTTATAATAAAAATGGATAATGATGAAATCCAAAAAGAGATTGAATATACCAGAGAAAGTCTATCTACAAATATAACGGGGTTAGCCTAGTTTACAGGTTTGTTATTTGCCATACAGTAAGTATACTAACTAAATAGGTTATATTTTATATCCCTTGAGGTTATAAAATATTTAATTATGACAACACTTTGTTTGATTATATACAGTTCTAAGTCTATCTACTTCAGCGTAAATTTTAAGGTGACCTGGTTTAACTTGCTTTTTGCCGTTGATTCAAATAATGTGTTTGTTCCATTCTTGATCTTGTACACAAGGGTTTATCTCTATAGGGCAACCTAAATAGGTTCCATAGTTTGGTCTACATCCGTAAAGTTGAGTAAAGTTAAGTAACTTCATATTAGATTCAAGTTCTTTAGGATCCATTTTAAGTATTGTAGATGTTCTTTAAGTAAATTCAATTTTCAAGAAAGTAACCTTATTTCTATTTCCAGTTTTAAAATTATAAAGAGATTAAAAATGGAACATTATATAACTTTTACAAAAATATCCTATATTTTATGAGAGCTTCATGAAACAAGAGGAGTCAGTAGATGCATGGCAGACTTTAATGCAAAGTGTTTTCCACTGTTGAAAATAGTATAAGCCCTGAAAATATAAAAAATATCATTACATATATGTTTGAAGATGGGAAAGTAAATACTGGTAGACTTATAGCTATAATATAGCTTAGAAGTAAGGTTAAAGAATATTATCCTGAAGATATCAAAGATATATATAATATTGTTGTTACAGAAATATACAAACATAGACGGTGGATTGAAGGTGATGGTATCTGGTCACGTTTAAAAATATTCTTTTTCGGAGAAACGTCTTTAAACAACTTTCTAGTTAATTAGGTAACCTTATTTCTATATTATATTATATGCAAATTAGGTGTGAGGTCAAATTAAGTTAATAACGTCATCAATAAGCAAATTAGGTGTTTTAATTGACCAATCAGAGGGTGTTTGGGATGGTGTGGCCAAGGACCCCCCTCCCCTACTACTGCTTATCATTTACAGACCCTTTGTCAGTATTACGATTAGATCTGTCCTTTATTTCTCATTTATACGTTTAAAAACTGTAGAAGAACACAGGCGTGTCCGAAATATTCGTCTTGATAAATTTTCCCTCTATTATTTCAACGTATGCAATCGATTCATTTTCGTTTGTGTTTATATATAGGCCTATAAGATAAGTTGGAACGACTTGGCAGACTATAACACAAAGCTATTCAGAGAATGGACACTTCGACCCAAGGATGGGTTCACATGTTCATACTCCCAACAAACTGTCCTAACCCACCATTTCCATTTAATGAATCTACTCTCAGCTATTGTGAAATATACGTAATAAAATTTAAAAAATATGAAGCCCATTTTGACCTAATACATATTTCCTCAACTCACTTTTACATGACATCTTACAAAAGTATCTTTGTGTATTTCACAATGAGTTAAATAACATTCTTTTGAACTTGTATTGTTGTTTTACACTAAAGGTTTTCAATAAAGATCTAAAGCTGTAATTGACCTGTCTCTTATACACATCTAGATGTGTATAAGAGACAGGGATATAAGTCATGAAGAATACCAG